AAAATTTCATGAGATTACATGTTCCATCAAATCACGAAATATCGGCATCAAGATTCAGAAGTCAGTTTCTCGCGAACGGAGAGTCTCCAAAAGCACTAAAATGAATCGACTGATGCAGAACTGCAGTTACCGGTCAACGCAACAATTTCGCATATTCGGAATGGAAAGCAACTCAGAATTAAGCACTGACTAATTCATTGAATAAAGTAGCAATACTGGGACAATATATTTGTGCTTTTCGAGTATGGAATAAGATAACTCTTTTCGCAGACCGTTAGGCAAGAGGATGAGGATAGTTTGTTGCGATAACAATAATTTTGCGAAAAAATCTTCGCGTCCTATATGTACTATCGAGTTAGTCATGAAACTACGACGATTCGATGATGATACATCTAAAATGGTTGCATTATGAATGTGTAGAAAATGAACATTGACGACTCACTAAACAAACATTTGACTCGTCATTGATAATTCCTCAACGCCGTTATTGATGACGGCTGTACAAAAAGAATGATATCGATGGAATGGCGAATGAATTAAGATATTCGAACATAAACAAATCGGAGAAATGCTTACCAGCTTGCTAGATGCGGCATTGTCCATGTGAAATAAAAACAGCGAAATGAAAACCGTGCAATAACTTGCTTCCATCATTTCATTGTTCAGATGAGTCTTGCGCGACTCTTCTGATCACACAAGAGCAGAGAGCTGGCTTTTGAAGTTGTTTTTTTTTTGATCAGAAGTCCGTGCACATAGTTTAGAGAAAGAACTTACATTATAAACTCCGAAACGCAACAACCTCTGATATGTTCCACTCATTGCATTAGATTTTCATGTAAGTTCCAAAAAAATTGGATTAAGATCTTGGTTAGATCGTAATATTTTACAGGGTCTTTAAAAACCGATCAGAAGAAAACTTAGGTGGATTTTTTCACATAGGATACTTAGCGCGAAGCATTACCTTTCTTCACTAGTGTCTTTGTCTCGGAATTGCTTACTTGCACATCCGAGATGAACCTAATGTGGTTGAATGTTGAGAATGGATGCTGACATCAATTGGTCCTTAAAATTTTTTTACTCGGAAAAACGCGAATTTTGTTTGTTCTATGCTGATCATTGTTGGTTGTACGAATATGTGGTTGAGGGTAATGGGATCGCTAGACCAATCCTTTTCCTCGACGAAACTGCAATGGTTGCAGAGAAATACAGAGAAACTGAAGTTATTATCGCAAAATTCCACAAAAGTACTTTTCTGGTATCAATATTTACTTTTGGTCTTAGATACGAGTGCTCTGATTGTGGTTATGAACGAACATCGGAATGGTCGAAACAAGACGTGCAAACATCGTAAAATTCATAATTAATATGTGACATATTAACAATCTCCGCAAATAAATATGACGTGATACACTCGCAATTTTTATCTCATTGACGTGGCAGCCAGCATTCAATCGCTAGAATTCATTTCGTTCAGTGATAAGAAACTGTATTTTAGCCTGTTCTTACCAGATCATTTACTCATTTTCGACAAACTATTTTGTTCTGCTCTGCTCCGTCCCTCAACCGTTCCGTTTTGCTCTGTTCTAGTATCTTATCATTTTGAAACTGTTCCCTTCCGTCGACTTTCATTTCTGAAGCCTGTTCCATTCTGCTCGGTTTCCGCACCTGAAATCTCTAAAATTATCCTGTTTTGTCTTGTTCCGTCCTTCCAATTGTTTTGGTTTTTTTTACATGTTCATTTTTTGGAAATTTACTGTTCGATTTCTGGGACAGAAGGCGATTTGAAAACTTTGAATGTAATAGAAACATCACTAGTCCTCATTTAATCCACTTTGATCCACAAACATTCACTTTGAGGATCATTGTTATCTGAATTGCACTCCGCTTCTCGCAAGCCAAAAGAATATAACTCGAAAACAAAAATTGGAGCATCAAAAAACCTTGGCACTTTGACGCCATGTTGTAGTTTAAGGTGTTGCTTTGACGCTGCTGCACCTCAGAGCAACAACCATAATGAGTCTCTCGTTAGGTCTTTCATTTCGGTGAATGGCATTTCGTGGGGCAGGTTCAATGAATTGAACGGATTTGTGGAGTGATATGATGGGCTAATTGAATAAGTTGGATGATCGTCCGTTGTAGATGTCGATTGTTTAAGAGATATTCTTTTTTTCTGAAACCGATCGTACCATTCATTCATTTTTGTTGCGTAAGATGGAGGAAACTAAGCCTAAGCATAACAATAAGTATTTATTGTTATGGAGTACAATAAGTATAAATGGAGCATCCATTTCGATGAGCTGTCACTTTATGCATGTGATCGATCACTTTGCGGAACTCTTGCAAACTGAATATTCAAATCCTATACTGATTGAAAATAATCCGAATGTGAGTGCTCAGCAGAATTGTGCAATTCTAATTCACAAGAAGAGTCTTAAATGAGCTGATAGCATAAGATAATACAAATGATTTTTCGATTACGGTACCACTCGATACGATTACGGTACCACTCGATAAGATTACGGTACCACTCGATAAGATTACGGTACCACTCGATTAGAGAAGATGGATGCTCAAACGGCTAATGCTTGAAATACCTTCACTGTGCAGCAAAGTGCAAATAACATCGCAAAGGCGCAGCTTTCAGTGAGCAGTTTTATGATGCGCTCGCTTTTTGAATAAACACTCGCCAGTTCCGAGGGATAAAGTGACGAAGTGAATGAAGTGGAAAAAAAAGAGTAAAATACGGGAATAAGTAGCCGATAAGAATACAGAATTCGAAACGGACACATGATGCGAGGCTTGTTAAAAGAAAAAACAAACTTTGATTATGAAGAAACTGAAACGATCGAAGAGCCCAATTATCCTCATTCTCATAATCAGTTTGAGAGCAGAACAAAAGCATTGCTGCTAATTGGATCTTTCGATGTGATCCTTATTTTCTATGTTTTGGTAATGTCGCAAAATTGTGAGCCATAAAATGACGATATCTTTGCACCAGTTTTGAATACGACGTATTCGAGAGTTGTTTCAGGGTACGGAATTCTTTTCGGTACCTTTAATACATCGCAACGAAATGCGTCTGGTGTTACGTTTCATTATCGTCGGTTATGTTTTGTGGACGGGACTCATTGAAGCAAACGGATATGCGGATCTAAACGACATGGATCGATTGAGTGTGCTTGATGATCATCGGATGGTGAAGCAAAGATCATTTGATGAATCTGTCGTGTCACCGCGGTGAGTAACGGTATTTCCGACGTCTTACATCGGCTGACGAGTGATTCATAATGCGGATGCGTCAACAAATGATTCTACTGAATAGGAAAATAAGAAAAATAGGCAAAATTTAAGTATTGCGGCATGTTTTAACCTAACCCTAAGAATAGTCATAATTGATATTCCGACGCAAGGTAGCTTGTGACTAAGCTTAAGCGTAGATTCAACTGTACCGCGTTGCTCAGTTTGTCCAAGTCGATACCTCAAACTTATATGTTCCTTAGGTGGGTTTGTTTTCCCGCACCTTCTTCACACTCTCAATTGTCGTTTCACTGAGTTCCGCTGTTGACCGTATGAAAAATGAATGTGTGGTTCATGTGTTTCATTTGCTTTGTACACATTCATCTTCGGTAGAGGAAGTCTATGTCAAATCCGACTATTCACGGTTTGATTTGACGTGAAGAGATTTTCTGATCTTCCCCCAAAGAAACATCAAAATAGCATAACATTGTGAGTGAGTGTCAAAACTAAGTCGAATTTCCCAGCGTGAACCTGAATAAAGCAAACATCAGAAGGATAGACCTTCAACAGGCGCCGATTAACCAGACCAATTCCATATCGCCATGATCACTCATTTTCTCAACAGAACATCAATCACCGGGTTCTCAGAACTCTTACAATTAGAGATCTCTTAGAACATCTGATAAAGATTTCATTGCTTGCAGTAATCAATAAATCCAGCTGTTTATTTAGGAAAGACGCCACTGTTGAGCCAATAGAACGTGTCAACTGCATGCCGGAGATAGACAATTATTTGATTAATAGGACCGCATGTCAAGAATCTGGATGTATATATGACAGAGACGTAGATGTAGGCCTTTTGTTTGTACGCTTTGGATTCTTTTCATTTTCTCCAAGATCATTCATTAATGGAGACATTCAATGGTGGAGATTGTAAGCAATCTTCAGTCGTTAGATTTGCTCCATTCTTGAATTCCACATGAGTTAGAACAGACCATCCACAATCGTTACATGCTTAGTTGTTTTTAGCGTGACCATTATCCACCTTGCTACTTGCCACGACGGAGTGGTTACGTGCAAAAAGGTGCTGCTGCTGCTGGTAGTTCAATAACTCTTGAATCGCTGCCGGATGTACAATCCCGGTATGGAGACAATTTATCGCCAATCGAGTTCAGTGCTGAGGAGATGAGTGGGAGCACACAAAATATACGCATCAGTAAGCCTGGAAGGTATGTTGGCTGACCGATACGATTGATGGAACAAAATTCTGAATTGCACGGAAACTTGAACTGAACAAAATTCACTCTTGATTTGTTCGCGACGAAAAAAATTATCTAAATTTGCGCGATTCGAACCATTTCGTTCGGTTCCTAGTTATCAGAAGACGGTGAGCGTACTGAATTTCGGCGAACTTTATGTTGGTGAAATTGTCGGATTTCATCTAATTTCGATGGTCCTTGTATAAAGGGAAAGATTTACTGCAACCGAAGATCCCCACAAGTTTTTTGAACTTCAATTGCCTTGCCGCTCCAATATGGTGTTATAAATATCAATGAACTGCTCCAGCAAGCGATTTGCAGATTCGAACCAAAACTTGACATTCCACGTGGAGTGTACGGAACCGGTGAACAGTTCTCTGTAACGAAATCGAATTCAACTGGTGTTTTCTCATTCAAAGTAATCCGTAAATCAACCAACGCAGTTGTCTGGGATACATCTATCGGTTTGCGATAAATCTTATACGGCTAATTAGCACCGAGTTACTGGTTTGGAATGAACTGCTAATATGTTGTCCATACGATTGATTTAGCAATTTCTTCTTTGCAACAGTTTCTCTGATTTTTTACATTTCCGACATATGCAGTTGCAAACTTCGTGAAAAGAAATTGGTCACTTCGATTCGTTTCATGTGAAAATCTTTCGAATTTAAGGTGGTATGATGTTCGCTGATCAATTCATCCAGATAGCGGCATACATTGGCGCTAAGTTTCAATATGGTATCGGCGAAAACACACAACAAACATTAAAAGTACGCCAGTCATCTCTCACCTCGTCGGATCATTAATTTCGACTTTTGTTCATCCTTCGACAATAGGTAGTGAGGAGATCACAGTTATGAGAGAGAAAAATACGAGCAAAAATTCCGCTCTGTTGTTTGATTAGCGATCATAAGCAGTCGAGAACCAGTTTAAGAATCGTTGAGTATAAGCATGAACATCGAAAAGATTCCTTATTTGTCTAAAAATTTCTACAGTCCTATGAACCGTACGTTGCGATATCCCTCTTCACCCAGTTATCTCATATGATGATTATAGATGGTGTATTCGAGAGAGAATGATTCACTTCTATCAACTTTTGATCAATGAATATTGCTTCTGTGATAAAACTATAATTTGAAGATCAAACTCCGCCAGTATCAAACATGGCCGATGTTTGGAAGGAATCACCCTGTTGACTCTACTCCTGTCGATTTCATCTTCTCGAATCGCAAAAACTCATATGGTGTTTATCCATTCTATGTTGGTATAGAGGCGGATTATAAAGCCCACGGTGTTCTGATTCTCAACTCAAATGCTCAGGTCTAAATTACATGTCAACCTCCTTATCGACATCCTTGTCGAGTTCATGATCCTGACACCACCTCACGGCGCCAGCAATTAGAAGATTGCGTTGCGTATCGTTGCTCATATTCAACAGTTTATTATAGTTTTCCAGAATTGCTAATGTTTTACAGGAGATCGAACTCGCACCCAGCCCACACGTGATCTATCGCACTATTGGGGGCATTCTCGACCTGTATTTTTTCCCAGGGCCTACACCTGAAGATGTTATCAAGCAGTACTTGGCGCTTGTCGGTTACCCCGAACTGCCACCGTACTGGAGTCTCGGCTTTCAGGTTAGCGATCCGTTGGTGGTTGATCTCTCTGGTGTATTCTTTTGACTAATTCTAAGACACCTCCAATAGTTTTATCAATTCATTCAGCTGTCGAGATCTGGCTACAGTGATTTGGAGGAGATGAAAACAGCTGTTGCGAACGTCAGAAACGCATCAATTCCAATCGATGTTGCTCATGCAGATGTTGACTACATGGACATGTATCAAGATTTTACGATTGGAAGCGTAATTTTTGTTAATTTTATTGCAATCGTTTTCGCTGATGTTGATAAGTCTTCTGATATTATTAAAGGCCGCTTCATAACCATCCAAATTCTGATTCATTCTGATGAGCCATTTTAGTTGAAGCTTGATTTGTAAGAATGAGATGTGATTTTTTTGTAAGAATGAGTAGTGAGATTTGATGAAAGTGGAGCATTGTAATTGATCTTCGCTTAAAATTTGCAGAATTGGCAAAAACTGCCGGAGTACGTGCAAAAACTGCATGCCGATGGGATGCGTGTGACGCTGGCTTTGGATCCGACCATTGCAGCGAATAGTGTAACGTTTGAAACGGCGTTATACGCAGTAAGTGGTTTCTTATTTTGCTGGAACGCATTGTTTGGTGAGAATGAAGAATTTTTCATTGATGCAGTGAACAGTATTATTCATTGAGCATTTCTGAACGCCGTTACCATTTCCCATCGATAAACATTTTTCTGCGAAATTTATCACTCGTGATTATGCCGGAAAAAAATTGTTCAAAAGGAGTTAAATTGAACGCTTAATATATCGAAGTTGAATACCTGCTGGGTGGTATTGCAGGGTGCAGGATTTGTTGAATGGGAACGAATGGATCAAGTACCAAAAACAACTCAAAGCCTATATCAACTTGCTAATAACACCAAAGTAAACACTTTACCAGCCTCTTCTGATGAAATCGATTGATCCAAACATTTTTATAAATTTTTTCCATAATGAGATTCAATGAAAATTACAACATTACAACAAGATTTGCTGGTCAATGCGCAGTCTTTTAAGATCATAATATATGTTGGTTTATTCCCATACGTGATTCTGTTTGAGGAAATCTTTGGTGATGTCTTAAGAGAGCGTTTCTCCGGATTATACATTTCCAACTNCCACTTTCCAGGCAGTGTTCCCTTTCCCACCCCCCCCCCCCCCCCCCCCCCCCCCCCCCCCCATGGAATATGAGATCATAAATTTTTCATCAATAAACTGCATTTATTTGTTTTTGCACGTAAATGCTTCAATTTTTGATCATGAAATGTTTTGAAAGAAGAAACAAATACAGCTGCTCGCCTTCTATGCACCCGTTGGAACAAATGAACATTTGCTGATGTCGAATAAATGTGCAGCAGTGATTATAACTCGTCATATGAGTCAAAGCGAAAATGAGGCCGCATAGAATCGAGACTGTGTTTAGCAAATGGCAACTATGTTGAAATCGATACTTGAGAACAAATTTCGGATGTTCCTTTGCAACAGATCTAAAGACTGATCGTAATAATTGTTCATGTTAAAGTGCATTAATTAAGATAATGCTGGGTATTGGTCGACCAAGTGTGCACGTTGCATTTCCTGACTTTTCAACCGCACGTACAACAAGTTGGTGGGCAATCGAGATTGAGAGATTCTGGAAGAAGGTAATCTATGTGCATATTCGTTTCTCAGCCACAAAAGTGCTGGTAAAGTCTGATTGATAAATCGAAGATTTAATCGAATATTTAGTCCATCACTCACAATGTGTGCAATTGGAATCATTCTATTAATTTCCTCCGTCGGAGAGCATTTTCCAGCCACAAGTTTGGTTGTTATCATAGAAACTCAATTCTAACCGATAGTTACATGATTTAATTTTAATTTTAAGGTTACCTTCGATGGTCTTGTGTTGAGCATGAATGAACCAGCAAATTTCCGTACCAACGGCAAAAAATGGATAGACGAGTTCCCGTACCATGATGACCTCGAACCATTAATGTGCCCACTAACTGGTAATGATTCAAATTATGACGCTCCACCGTATCAGACGTACGCAGTATACCTTTACGACCATGTAAGTTGTCGGATTTCGTTGTTTTTGCTACGAATCGTTTGTCGTTGTTTGTGCACTCAACTCCTTTGCGAATCATATAAGTGTTCATCGTGAATGAATGCAAAAATGGCGTTGCAATCATTCCCTGAACCAAAACTGCTCAAAGGGAAGCAGCAATAGAACTTAATCTCTCAGAAAAAATCTGTATCACCTGTAGGAGCAACCATGTTAAACGAGTGTTTTCAGAAAGATCCCCTTTCATCGAAAACTCTCTGCATGATGGGGAGAACGTCGCACGGTCCACTTTATGACACCAAGAGCATTTACAGTTTGCACGAAACACAGGCAACATCTTATGCTTTAAGCAGGTTACAGCGGAAGCGACCACATATCGTTACGAGGCGAGTTGAGCATCTCGTATTTTCAGTCATTTTAACAAATTGCCTCGAATGATTTCAAGCTGGATTGACACCGTCTCTTACTGTGTTCTACAGGTCTTCATTCCCGTCTACGAGTCGCCACGCTGGCCATTGGCTAGGCGACAATTATGCTGACTGGCATTCATTGAAAGCATCAATTGTTGCCATTCAAGATCTTAGTATATTCGGTGTGCCGTATGTTGGTGCTGATATTTGTGGTAATATTGGTGATACATCAGAGGAGTTGTGTCTTCGATGGCAGCAGCTTGGTGCATTCTATACCTTCATGAGGTTTTTAACATCACTTTTTTGATCGCAGTCGCTCCAGTTTGAACCCTGTTTGAACTTTTATGTTTGCCTAACCGATGCTCCTCTCCGCTTGATCAAGAGCATACTTAAAGCTTATTGAAACAATGATAAGTGTCCATCATGAAATTGCAAAGTTAACATTTTCTCACTGAGCACTTCAATTTTACTCATTGTCGCCTCATAGAGTGACTCATTTTGGTAGTATATCCGCCAACAACTTTTAGAAATAACAACGATAGATCGTCTGCACCACAAGAACCATCCCAATGGTCATCTGTGGCAGCAGCAACTCGTCAAGCAAATCTCTTCAGATATAACTATCTTCCATATCTTTATACGTATGAAATTCTTATCTGTACACGTTTGCTAGAATTAATGTTACACATTTCAATCACGTTGAATAATGCTATGAATAAGGTGAATCAATAATTTTAGAACGCAGAATTTAGAAGTGAAAAACCCCTAATCGGCAAACGAATGTTTTTGTGGTTGAAAATTTGCTGAGAAAACGCTTGCGAGCGAAGCACTGAGAACAGTGTACGATAAAATTCAGTCACCTTCAACCTTTCACTTTTTGTTTGACGAAAACCTGACATGAGTGAGCACTGTTTCAACTCGTAACCTAANCTAAGTGCCACGAATATATGATGCACACTTAGATTGCTGTATAAAGTTGCTGTGGTTGGTGGAACTGCGATTCGACCAGTTTTCTTTGAATTCCAAAATGATGACGCCGCACTTTATTGCTCATATCAGTTCATGTGGGGCCCAGCAATATTGATCGTACCAGTAATTGAACAGGTCTGCAACTATGAAACCTTATTAGAATTCAAAAAAGCTTGAATTAATACTCAAATAAGGGATCCCATTCTATTTATGTTGAAGCTCTGCAAAGATCATCAACCAGATTATCTTTCTTCACCTGATTCATCATTTGCATTTATCAGGGAGCGGAGAGAGTATATGCGTATTTGCCGCGTAATGCTACATGGTATTCATTACGAAATTCTGACTATGGAACTAGGATGAGCACTGGGTTTCAGTATGTGGCTGCACCACTTACCCAGCTGATTCCTGTGTATGTTCGAGGTTGGCAACTTATTCGTTATCGTCTATTATGTATAACGTTAGATCTCGATATTCGTTTGATACATCTTGAATTCATTGATGAATTTTGCAACACTTAATACAGCATTATTTAAGGTGGCTATATTGTACCTCGTCAAGCTCCTGGATTAACAACTGCACAATCAAGAAATAATCCCTTCGAAATACTCATTGCACTTGGTTAGCTTTATCAGCAAGCGATTTTAAATGTATCTGTCCATTCGAATGTTTCAGTTCGTATGCTAACATCTACTCAGTAAACAAAGCATTCTGCTTACTTGATTATTACGTCCAGAACAATTTATGCATCAGATCAGCTCTGAAGTGCTAACTAAGAAAATTTAAGCTAAATGCGATAAAGATGTTATTGATAATTGAGTAGCAGCATAGATCAAGTGGAAGCATCAGCATCAAAAAAGTAACCAAATAAGATGAACGTACCAAGCAAACGCATTCAAAATGAAAGCATTTTCACGATGGTCACCAGTTCCCTTAGATGCTTTCTTTAGTTCATACTGAGCAGTTTTACCAGTGGACGACCCGATGAAAGTGTCCAATGAATTCAATGCTTTGGTATGAAGTGCGAGCAGGCGAGCATCAAATTTATGAGGAATTTTGGAAATTCTTTCAGATGATGACAGGTCGCGACCTGCATCGGGTACACTATTCTGGGATGATGGCGAGAGTTTGTTGAAAGACAAAAATTATTGTGAATGGAGTTTCAGTGCCAACATAACACCACAATTAACCAGTGTCACTATCAAGCGTAATGGTCCCAAAGTATAACCTTTCTTCACGATATGCCGCTTTTCTAATCATCTGATTTTCTGACAATGAGGCAATTTTTCAATGTTTTATCATTTCAGGTTCCAACTGACATCCCAACCTTAGACAGAATTGAAATATTTGGATGTCGACATACACCACAGTTCGAATCAGCAAAACTGAACAATCAGTCAATCTCAATAACAAATTGTTCCACACACGATAGCAGTAAGGGCGTGATTACAATCAGCTGTGAACAGCTCCTTAAACTAAACAGTTCTGACTCAGAAATGGTTCTGACTTGGTCTCATACGTACGTTTGTGAATGTTTTTCCAGTTTTCACCTTCTTTTCGCCGTTTCCTAGATGCAGTTCGTATTCTAACGTTCCGATCTTTTAGCACGAATTTTGCTCCACTTCGTTCCTGACAGTTTAGACCGCATTGCATTACTGAATTCACTATCAAAGTTCACACCGACTCTCCATCCTGTTATACACTTCAGTGCCCTGGCAATGCTCATCTCTCTCAGCTCTATTCATTTCATTAACTGCTCACGATTTGATTACGATCAGTTTCCACCATGACAGAATCAGTTGTTTTTTTTTAAACATTTATAATCGATTGTTGTATAATGGTGAGAATCCATTTAGACTTGCTCCACCGACCACCACTGCTACTAGACCTCCAGCAGTGTCACCCTCGACGAGTACCGTTATTGCATCAACATCTTCCATGAGTACCGTCGGAGTTACATTAACACCTTCCGGGAATACCGTTAGTGCATCATCAACACCGTCCACCTCAACGAAAGATCCGTCCACCTCAACGGAAAACGCCCCCAGTTCATCTATACCTTCAACGTCAACCGATAATCCCGCTCCGGCAACAACTTCAGCTGTCACATCACACAATTATTTCTGTGCTCAGCACTTCCTGATCGTCCTTTTGGCACTGAACTCATTCGTTCGATTTCTTCATTGATTCTTCCTCGTTGGTTCTTTTTGTCGTTCTTCGTGCAGTACGGAGTGTTGTTCTGATATTTTTCACACTATTTTCTTGTTTTGTCTCATTATGTTTATGTTTCCAGCAATCGCCTCCTCTTGAACTAAACGGTCATTATCAATTGATGAGGAATTTATTGAAATTCACAACAAAAAAATTGAGAACAAAGTGAATTACAGTTCCAACAAAAATTCAATTTGCTCGAATGGCAATCCGCATAACATTCAATTTCATTTTCGACATTCTTTCACAGTACACCTCAAATTAAGCGGACTAAAAATTCCTGTTTCGTTTGAATAACTGAGAGCACCATTTTATTTGCATATTGCACAAATTGCAATCAATACATTAATTCCTTCATGATGTTATATATATATTATGCACTTATCTGTACTGATGTATTTGCTATGTCAAGCAATAATAAATGTTTGTTGCCACAAATAATTTGCCTAATTAAACTCACGTCAGCCGATTATCAACAATCCATTAAATAATCACAGCTACCGTTCCTCTTCAATAGTGCTGCGACGACAATTTTCCAATTGCTTCAGTACATTTCTTTTTTTTTTCGCCTAGAATGGTGAAGCGTTCATCATTCAGTTCAAATTTCGCCAATGGAGCACTCGAATATCACGCAGAATAAGTTCTTTCGATCAGATGAGCGAATCATTTCATTTTTTTCCACTCACAGTATGAATCTATCTTATTCATTAAACGGTTTGCTATTCTGTCGAAAGTGCTTCAGCTAAACGATCACCATATATAAAAAACTAAATGCTCACACATTATGAACTCAAAGTATTGAATCGGGAGCGAATACGCTGGTAAATCTGCCTGAATTGCAGCATTCACAATCGCCACTGAAGTGGACGAATGATGAAGGAACTCACTGAACTTATATCAGAAGCTTTGCGAAATGCTCGTTTCGATAGATCGCACGATAAGACCGAAATTCGGTTTTTTTTTTGTTTTGTTTTTCAGGCGGCATAATTTCTGAGTTACCAGCCTCAACTATAACTGTATTGAAAACACTCGTTAAAGACATTGTTAAACGTTGCCCACATGCTCAAAAATTTTAGAATAGCACTTAAACATGTGTGCATTTCCACACGAATTTGTTCTGATGCGGTCAAAATTCTTCAAAAACCGTTGCATTAAATGCCTACGATTTGATGCCACACTAAAATGAACTGACGCCAGTTGGTGCTTGTAACCGAAGTGCTCCGTGTCAATGAAACGTGATTTGCTGCAAACTCTTTTAACTTTTTTTTTGCTAATAAAGTTAGTTTCTTTGGTGAATGCTGCACAAGCAAATTGCATTATTGCAAGAGATGTAACATATCAATCAGTAAGTACACACACACACACACACACACACANAGTAAGATCTACTGCGGTCATCTGGTGGAATGAGACGACATTGCAGAAATGAGCGTCGTCGTCAAATTGTTCAGTGTTTACACTATCCTCGAATGCAAACCAATAATCTTACTTCTGCTACGTTATTCATGCTCGAGTGAACTGATAAGATATCACTAATAGCCAAATTTGATATTAGTAATAGCCAAATAGCACAGCGTCTTTGAAAGCAAACAATAAGTACAACAGCTTATCGTTCGTATGCTTTCTTGAGTGAATTTCATTCAAACGGAGAATGATGAAACAGTGATGCAATAACACATTGTTGCATCATTGCTTGTAACGAATGAAATGTTGGAATAATGTGGACAATGTAGAATAGTCATTGGGATATCGCAAGCGTAATTTGAAGACGAACATTCCGTTCTGAATCCACAATAGTACGTGGAGTGACGGAAACATTTTTGGTACCGCTCGAAATTGGAAGCAATCTCGCTGAGTTATGCTGACTTGCGGAATGTTTCATGAATCACGATGTTTCAAAAGCTTAACGTTGTAGTGTACATGTTCCGCAACAACTTTTCAACGTAAGTGCATTCAATGAAATATTCCGATTTTAAAAACTGCTCCGTTAGTTTCTTTGCTGAATGCTGATGAAGGAACACACTGAATTTGCCTCAGACTTCATTTTCGGAATTCGGCTCCGGTGATATCCAACATATGACCGCAGTAGATCTTACTGACCGTAAGAATTTCGATGGAAGAAAATGAAGTCTGAGGCAAATTCTCCATATTCTGTTGAAATCCTTTAATCTGCGCCTTGCAGTTTTTCTTTGGAATGAAAAAAGCTTTATTTGCATTACGCTGACGATGAGCAACTTCATGCTTCCATGCCTAAATCTTAACAAAGAATGCAGATACCGCCACAATAATGTGTGAAATGTGAATATTCAAATGTTATTCTGATCGAAATTAATCTAAGGTCGCAACAGAAGTATCCTATTCTACTCTACAATGACAGTTTTAAATGGTTTGAATTCATAAGATAACATGAATGATACTTTGATATGTGATTACGGTACCATTCGACCATGGATGCCAAAACGACTCATACCTAGAATATTTTTACTGTTTATCAAAGTGCAAGTAGCATCGAGAACGCACGACTGCTAGTGAGTGCTTTTATGATAGACCCAATGAATAAACAGAGCCGAATTCTGAGGAATAAGGTAACGATATGGAGAGGAAAAGAGAGTTAAACAAGGGGGATCGAGCTTCTACGAATACACAATTCAAACTTGGTGAGGATATTTTCCTTTATTCAGCACTAATTGCTGAATGAAGCATGTGCCAAAGAAGTTTCACATCTCAACCCATTCAGCTCATTTTCTTCAACATTCATTTTCTCTTCCTTCATGTGCACTATTCCATTTTAACTTCTGCTCATGAAAGATACTGTTGTCTTTTTTCATGTTGCTGCATAAAGTTCGTTTCTAATTGCATTATATTCACATTCTGCATAACTAGATCGGAATGTAATGGTTGCACTGTCTTACCATCACATATAATGCCCCTGTTGGATTAGGGTTTGCAAAATACGGACCATTTATTTGATGCCAGGATCAAGAGCAATGCCAGCATCGTTTTTCAGTTCCGGTACGATCCTGGTATTGAAAAGCAACTTTCGAAATACAGAAATGTGATCTGTTTAGCACATTCCTTTTGACCCAATGCGTTCATAATTAATCAGAAAACAGTTTATTCAGCAAATCATTGATGGAAGCTCAACAAATACTTCGGTTTAAACTGTGCTGAGAGCGTTCCTAACGATAAGCAAGACTTCAAGAGCATGTTTTTATTACCCGGACAAAAAAGAATCATTTGCAAGAATATAAAATCCTTGATTCCCATTGTAAATCTGGATAACAATAACGGAATTATTTTTTTTTTTGCAAATGTGCAGCACAAATAAGAAATAAAACCATTGATCACCTGTTGCAGTGACCAGCTAATTAATATTCCTCTTGAATCTCCACATTAAACACCACCAGTGGTTTCAAAATTAAAATTGTTTTCAAATTTCCAAGATGCAGTGAAAACCAGAAAGCTATAAACGGACACTTCAGTTATCGATCACAATATATGGAATGACCAATGTTTAGATTGCTGAATAAATTTCAAGCAAATTTAAACATACAGTGCGATGCATCTTCGACGTTTCTCAAATAATGGACTGTTGTGTTCTGCGTAATCGTGTCATTCACTGATAATACAACGAAGCTCTTTGCATTTCTTCCACAAGCATATTGTGGGAATCTGCAAATTTTTCTTCAACCGATTTTCATGTACACAAGCCTCTTGACTTCTAATATTCGCATCCTGCTCATTATATTCGAACAAATTCGGTTGAGCAACCATTATTCAGACCATTTAACCCGAATAATTACTGATTTGCTTGGTTAGACTTGTGATATTTGAATTATCAAATTTCGACAAGAAAAATGAACTGAATGAATTTTGCAGAGGAGGAAAATGCACTGCGTGAAGTCAATATCGACAAAGTTCAATTCGCAATGTGAACATTTTGAATTCTCAGACAGCCTCAAAAATGGCGCGATTTTAAAATTTCGTGACGATGAGC